AGGATTGGATCAAACATTTTGGTAAAAAATGGAATATTTTTCAACAAAGAAAAGATCTATTTGATCCAAAGATGATTCTATCACCAGGACAAAGAATTTTTAATTAGCTTTTCACCAATAAATGGTAGGATATAAGCATAGGATATTAGCTTTTCAGAGTTGTTAAAAACAAGCATAGGGGTAGGGGGGAGGGGGGTTGTCTAGAAATAGTCAAGTTTTTAATTGTTTGAGTTGATGTATTTTAATTTTATTTTATTTTTGGTGTTTTGAAAGATAAATTAGATGATGTAAAGCTTTTTAGCTACCACTTAATTATAATATGTCAAGTTTTTTTTTGTTGATAAATATGATATAATAGGTAAAATAATAATGTTGATATATCACCTCCTAATTATTATAAATTATTCAAATGTTAGGAAATGAATGATACTTAATACTAAGAAAAAAATAGATATACAATGGTAAATTATCTCTTTTAACTTTTTATATTCGACAAGTAAAAGTACTGAACATTTATTTTTATTATAATGAACAAGTAAAACAAACGGTATAGATATTATTTATATTATAATCGGAAAAGGGTCAAAATTGCCCCTGAACTATGTGAAATAGACCACTTATATCCTTCGTTACATTTTGGGATAAAAAATGCCCCTGTTGTTATCCTAAGAGACCACAGATACCCTCAAGAGTTAACACCCTAAATTTTTATTGACGTGGCAAGCCACGTGGGACTAATCCTTCCACCTAGCGTTACCAACTAGGATTCACTACAAAAGAACTAGACTTTTAGCGGCAACAATAGTCGCCACAAAAGACTAGAAAACTGTCACTAAAAGTTTTTAACATTAAATTCTAATTTTGTGTTTTTTTCTTCATTGTTTTTAAAAAATAAAAAATGATATCTATTAAGTAGGAGTTTGAAGACACTGTATGTTTTATTTTTATGTCATATGTAAATGTATAAAATGTACAATGATGCATTAAATAGTAGGAGATTTGAATCGAGAAGTAATTTTGATGATTTTTCGTAATAATATTGTATGTTTTTAATATTGATATTGCAAGTTATTTA